TGCCATTTGACAGCCAGAGCACACTAGAACATCCAATGCCAAATTGTCAGATGAGGACTATAAAGCTTTGTCTCATTCATTCCTAGGCAAGAAGTCAAATTTCAATGCATCTACGTTTTTTACTCAGGGTCATCATTAATCACAGTATCTCCATTCATCCATTCGGCTTTGTGGAACTGCCTTGTTACGCAGACACAACTCCTGCTTTGGGCTAATGAGCATGAAGGGAGATGTCCTCTGATAAAACTGCAAATGCCACCTTCAAAGGAGACATGCAGTGCTCCAGCTTTCGTGGCCACAGGGAGCTGTCTGCAAGGACTAAGTTTAACATTTTCTCATGTTACCATACAATTTCTGGTAAAAGATTACATGTGGAAGGAGTTAGAGCGACCAAGAAGGCCTGGCTCCAAGGTCCAAACTATCCAGTAAGCCTTGCCGACACAGACTTGCCCTATACAGGGAGGATATTGGTGTCTTTCAGCTGGCAACATTATTCTTGTCGTTTGTTCCCTCAAAGGCTGAGAAACAAAGGTTTCATTTTTCTAATGAGGAAGTGCGGACAGAACAAAGGCTTTACCGAAGGAATGTGATGTCAAGCATTTTTAATCTACCATACTGTGGCCTTAGTAACCCTCTATGTCTAAAGAGGAGTTTGGGGTTGTGGCTGAAATCAGAAGCAGCCAGAGGAGAGGACTTGACCCTCCTAGGTATCGGTAAACTAAGAAGCCACAAGCTTCTAACTAAATAAATAACCAAGCGGCAAAATATGGGGTCATTGAGGTTGGCATACTGAGATACACCAGTGGTATAATAAGAACTAATACACTCTATTCATCTATTTTTCTCTCTTCTTTTCCTGTCTCCTTGTCATTATTTCTCTATCTTTCATACCCTCCAACAACAAAAAAGTGTAGTAATTCAATCAGGCTCTTGTGATCATTTAAAGAGTCAAGGTCTGTTTGGACACTAAGGTCTGCTTAGTGGGAGATATAGAGACTTTACTAGCCTGATTGTCTTTGAAGTCCTCAAAGCGGCTACAAGAAACTATCCTGCCTGATCAAAGGAGGAAAGAGACTACTGGAAAATAAATGAGAGAAATTATAATAATGTGCTCTTCTGCTGGAGCTGTACGGATGGTGATGTACACAGCATGAATTAATTTACATGCGAGTAATTGTGGATATTATTGTAATTTATAGTGTAGAGCTGCAAGTAAGGAACATTGCAATGTCCAATTATCTGTGGGAGGGAAATTTGCAAATGCAGTGAGCCGTTCACGAGCATTTAATATAAATGTCCTTATCGATCATTTGGGAAACACTTTCCATCATCATGAAGAAATAAAAAAAGAATCATCTGGAAATCAAACTGAATGAACTCAGTATTGTACCAATCAGTGAGGTCGACATGGCTCCTGACTATTTGCATCAATCACATGCGTCTCTTTACGACATTGCTGACAGTAATTATTCATGTAAATTAATGACGCATGAAACACCGCACTGTAGATGAGGTGTTTTGGATTAGACGTCTACATTTCATGCCACCTCATGCGGTCACATGTTTGGCTGGTCCTTTAATCCCTTCAAAATGAAAGGTAAGAGGGTTCATGGGCTGGAAGCAATGTCCCTTTGGCTTGAAAACCTGCATTTGGCGCCTAACATCAGTGTCCATATGTTTTTCGCCCAGTAGACGGCCCACATGAACTGAACTAGATGCTAACATCAACAGTCGGTAAATCAATTAAGTTTCTGAGATAAAAAGTAGAACTGTAAAAGTCACTCTGTACACACTGCAACCAGAGACTGTCAAACATTCGATTCAGCCAAAATATACATGCACTCAATGATTTTCAAACACCTCAGTGGGAAATGTAATAAAATGTGGACAAAAGACCTATAAGGTCACACCACTGTCACATCCTGGAAACCCTGAGCATGCAGGTATGCAGCATATACATATATATATATATTACATACAATATATAAGAAGGAAGGATTGATGACAACAACAACAACAGCAGCAGCAATAAAAACAATAAAATCTAGAGATGTGAAATGGAATGGAACTTGCCCAACAATGCCTCATGAACAAAAAGGAGGCAGTGTCTTTCCTTTCAATCACTGAGAGAAAACCATCCCACATTTTGGTATAGTTCACATATACTGTACATACGAGTATGCCGGCAGGTCGTACTGCTGTTCCTACAAGGTCAACAAAATGTACCACATAGTTTTACTTGGTTGTCTGCAAAGGTCCTATGGCGGGCATTGGTGTGATACATCGCATTGGATAATTGTTGTGCAATTCATAAGTCGCAACCACAGAAAGCTTTGAACAAATGCCAAGTTTTCATATTATATTTATTCACTTACTGTAACTGTTTTAATTGTACTGTCTGGAAATGTTATTTTCCTAAATGGTGGTCTAAATGCAGTTTCAAACCCTTCTTCACAGGGTCAGGAATACAGTTCTGGTGGATGGAATATTGACTTATTTAATAATAATGTAATAATGACATGTAGTACTGAAGTTTGACAAACTGAGAAGAAAATGGTCTATTATCTTAGCCATGTGGCCTCCAGTCTGATTCTGATCAGCCAACTCAAACATAGAAATCAGAACACGCATCAATTCCCTTCTGAAACAACAGGAACAGTCCAAATGTTATTGTAGGCGTCCAGTAACTAAGTCACCGCCAGATATTCTTTGTCATTGCAACTGTGCCCACATATTAAGGCAGATTAGAATCATCAATCATTTTGATTCAAAAAGTTAAAAAAATAAAAATTTAGTCAGTTTCACTTTTTCCTCAAAAGGCCCGAAGGCCCAGGAGTCTGCCGTTTCCAACCATCTGTTTACTTTCTTAATATTTTGTAGGATAATTCTTTCACTACAAATGACTCAACGTTGTTCTCATATGGTCGTTAATGGTTGGATGTAAACGGGACTGATGATAACAGCTGGGATCATCAGCTGGAGTAAGTGACTTCAGTTCTTCCATAAAGTGTTCCTTTCATCATCACCCGATACATCAGCTTGGTTCATTGGCCCAGTGATGCCCCTCCAGCCCAGCAGTATCTCTGCTTCCCAAGATAGAAGCAGATGACTGAGGGCTTCCTGCTCCTCTGTCTCCCGTATCTGCGTCACTGCCTGATAATCCAGACTTTACCGGCAGCCTTCACTTGATGCTTTATCTCAACCCGGGAGTGCCAAAACAGATGCACACCAATATGGGATGCATGTTCCCTAACAAGGGACTGTGTGTGGGGGTGTTGGGATATGGACACTCATCAGTGATCAGAGTATCAAAGGTGAGCGTGTCAACAAGTCTCCTCCTTTATTTTAATCTGTACCAAACAGACAAGAGAAGTGTGTGTCGGGTTGTATTCACCCGCTATGGCTAAGTGTTTACCCTCTTTGAGAGATTTTCCTTTCAATTACACGATAAATCCATAATGTAAATGTCGCATTTCCGATTTGATAATTTCTAATTTTGTGGCTGACAATATTTATCCAATCAGTTGCTTAGTTCTGCTGTTCTTTCATGGGAATAATATAATCTCACAGTGTTGCCTGTGGCATTTGGAATAATGCCACACTTTCTGGAATTCTGCTTTTATGCTGCAACGGTTGTCAAAAGTTAAAAGATGAAATAAAGAGGATTTGTCATCCAAATTGGCAATTACCCATTCATGGATAACCTCCTCAGTCTCCGGAATTTGTCAAACACTTGAATCCATTACATCAAAGTCTTCTTCCCTGAATGTCAACCCTGCTTTCAATTCTAATGCAGCGTACACTACTACATATCTGGAAGTAAATAATAGACATCAAACAATGTGAAGTTGTGGTACAATCAGCTCACAGTTCCCTGCAGAAAACCCTGCGACGATGAGTGCTGACTGCGAGGTTATAAAAGAGGTTATCGCTAACTCTTCACCGTCAATCTCACTTCATCATGAGGACTTCACTTCAGATGGGACCCAAAGCAGCAACACTTAGTGTTCTCTTAACCAAGAAACATTTTGTCCAATGTTTCATGTCAGGTATGCAAAATCTAGTCCTTAAAGAGAGAAGATTGACAGTTTTACAAGTTATCAACTTGTATTTTGCATGTTTGTAGGCATCATCACAGCAGACATCAAAAATGACAAAAATCAGCCTTCTCAAACCAGATTTCGAAAAAGATTCTTTAATAAATAGCAGCAAACTGACTGACTTTAAAAACATCAGTAGCTGTTTTGAGGCAAATATGCAGGACACCCAGCCATCTGGAGAGCTGTTCAACCGTTTTGTTTGCTGTGGAACATCACCATCTCTAGATACAACAAAGAAGGTGCGTGGAGGATTTAAAGTCACACCTCGATGTAGCTCAGTTTCCAAATACAAGCCTCCACGTGAATCGCATGACAGTTATGAACAGTTATGAAGGTCCTTTTTGTGGAGAATTTCAAACTGGTTGATGCAATTGTGACCAACATGTTGGGGAAAAAACATCAGCTTGAAATATTTGGACAAACTGTATCATTTTGATCCCACCAAGAATGTGACTTCTGTCTTTTAAACTAAATGGCAGACAACAGAAAGCC